ACTGGCAATTCGAACTTGAAACCATATATAATTTCCTCCAATCAAATGCAGTATATACAAATATAAATATATATTACATATATATAAAAATATATATATAAACATCAGAGTTGGCTAATGTGTATCGAGTGGCTGGTAGCTGAAAGTTGATTGCGCCGCTTTCGATAGCTGTTGGCGGCCTTCTGCTTGGCCTCGACGGCAGCGCAGGCCGCCCGATAGGCCGCCTGCTTGGTCTTCTCGTAGTCATCGCGTGCGCTGTCCAGCTGCTTTTGGAGCGTGGCCAGGCGGTTTTTGGCCGCCTCGAGCAGCTGCACCTTGGTGGTCATTTCCTGCTGGGAGCCGAGCGCAACTGTTTGTATGTTGGCCAGATTGTCTTTGACCGTCTTGTGGAGGGCGGTGAGCGCCTCGAATTGATTAGTGGCTGCACGAGCTGCCTCGATGGCGGCATTCATGTTCGTCTCCGTGTTCTGCAGCGAAGCGGACTCCTCCTCCACCACGGCATGGGCCTCTTGCATTTCCAGCTCCAGCTGCTGCACAACCATCTGCTTGCCGGTGAGCGCCGCCTCGGCGGCCTTGGCCGATTGGAAGGCCTTCTCGGCCAGCTCCTGCTTGATGTGCTGGGCGGCCATTTGGCCGGCGGCATGCTGCGCCTCGTTGGCCGCCTTTGCGTCCTGCGCCGCCTTCACGGCTATGCTCGAGCTCTTCTGCTTGGGATCGCCGGGCAGGAAGATCTTCTTGACATCGCAGCCCTTGGTGATGTCCTCGTTGCATTTGCCACCCACGCCCGTGCCACCAGAACTTCCAGATCCGCTGCCGGCTCCACCTCCTGATCCGCCACCAGCTCCGCCGCCGCCGCCGCCGCCGGGACCCCCTCCCGCTCCACCGCCTCCACCACCATCAGAGCCGTCGACTGGCGGATATAGCGAGGACCCCTCCACCTCCATTGCATCAGCGATAGCCGCAAAGTCCGAGTAGAGATTGGGCGGCCAGGCCATGCGCTTGCGCTGCTGCCGCTGTGGATGCAGTGTGGACGAATTGGCTAGACTGGAGGCCACTCGCAAGGAAGCACCTACCTTAACGACTCGATAGCCAAGGCTGTTCATCCTGGGGCACAGCACAGACATTGCGAGCAGTAGCCAAAGGCATGCGCTTTGCACTCGCATGGAGACAGCTATTGCAAGTCCAACTGGACGAGGTACTTTGCTCAGATGCCAGCCAGTTGCCTGGCGTGCTTTGATTTTGATCTCAATGAAATCGCTGTGTCCAACTGTTCCCGCACCATCAATGAAACCGATCCCCAACCAGCAAACTTCATTCATAGTTCCAGTCGAGGGATGTGCAGCTGTAGCTGGAATACATTTGTCTCTGACTTCGATTGACAACTTCGTCTCTGTTGTTGTTGTTTTTTCGCTCCAGGTTTCTATGAATTATGATTATTTATCGAAAAATAAACTGAGCAATCGATCGTAACCGAATTTTGTTTATGAATTTGTACACAAAAAACGGCTCGCATGTCATCCGCTCCTAATGGAATGGGCTATAAAAGCCGCCTTGTTGTTGGCATTGACCACAGTTGGAGGCGGTGCAGCTAACGGTTTCTCGTCATGCAATACATGGGCGGCATTTGGTTCGTTTGGCTCGGATTGATAATGTGTGGCAATGCCTTGGTGCACATGGTGCCGGCGCAGAAGGACGGGAAGGCCGCCAGGAAGCTGGAGAAGGGCTGCGAAACTCCGATGGGTCACCTCAATGCGGGCGAGGAGATAAACGACGATAAGACGTGCGGTATATTCGTCTGCCAGGATGACGAGGGCAATGGCCTCTATCAATTGTGAGCCTGGCATGAAGTCTTATAGCTACCCTTTACCAACAGTCCCTCTCTCCCCCCCTCTCTCTTTGCAGCTGTCAATCACCGGTGAACTTTGCCAATTGCGAGTTCGATCTGGTCAATACAAAAGGTCAATTTCCCGACTGCTGCTGGGAGTGTGTGACGGGCATCCCATGTCCCGA